GTATTTTTGCGCGTCCTTTATTTAACTGCGTCCATGTGGATGTAATAATTGTTAATCATGTGGATGTAATAATTGTTAATCATGTAGATGTAATAATTGTTAATCATGTGGATGTAAGAATTGTTAATCATCTGGATGTAATAAATGTAAATCATGTGTGTCTGCTGTGAACAATAATCATTTTCACATCATGAACAGTTTCTCAGAATCACCTCTAAGTGTCTCCAATGGAACCAGAACCACAGAAACGTGTGACACCAGCCCTGGAGTTGGCGTGGGGCTGCACACATTTCCACGTTCAGTTTAGTTTTGATACATCCAGAGTTTTGTGTGGAAAATGGCGTACGCAAGGTTTTTGTGCGTACGCACCGTTGTTACATGAGTCCCCAGGTGAGCTGAACAGATTTGACTGAAACTCACTCAGAAAGTGACTCAGTGTTCTTTTATAGCTGCTCTGTTTGAGATGGCCGCCACAGCTAATCAACATTAGACAGATCAGTTAAAACTCAGCTATCATTCACAACAAATACTCCACGAGCTCTGCTGTTAATAAATTTTCATTAGTCATAATGTTCTGACAAAATTTCTCTGATGAACAATAAATCCTTTCACTGATGAAACTGTATAACTCTGACCACCAGGGGGTGATACTGGATGACCTGCTGGCCAACACCTCCTATGACGTCCAGGTGGTGGCTGTCTGCACCAACGGTTTGTACGGACATGTGAGCAAAATGCTGACAGTTTTCATCCCCATCACTGATCCCGGTAAGAGAGACTAAACCCGGTGCTGAGCTTAACGTTCAGCAAAGAACTGAAGCAAACTGTGTCCGCTGCCATGTTTCATCTGGTCCCTTGTTCAACTCAAAGATGAAAAATCACTTAATATAAAAACATACATGTCAACCTCTTCGGATGCTTACCTGTATAAAAAGCCTCAAAATTCCGTAAATTTTGCAAAAAATCCGTACAACTCACACCGGGGGGGTGGTTTCGGCTGTGGACATGAAAGCGGAGCAGGTTGGAAGATGGCTGTTTGATGTTATTTATTGTTTTTTTAAATCATCCTGCAGGCTCTGACATGTTAGATAAATTTGAAAATGAGGTTTTTAAAAAAATCCGTAAGACTTGAAAAAATCTGTGAGATTGCTCTGTACATCCGTTTACCTGCAAAATGACGTCAAATCCTTATAACTTACGGACAATCCGTACAAGTTGACATGTATGTAAAAACAAGAGAACATTTACAAGAATTAAGCTTTAAAATACTTTTTCAAAATAAAAATTAAACGTCAAATACAATCATAGGAAACAGAAGACTCTTTCAGTTTTAGGGATTTTCACATCAAGGCATAAAAAATGATATGGTTTCTATATCTTTTAATTCATTTGTAAATAAAAAGTTTCTTCACAGCTGTATAGTTGTAAACCCCTCTATCAAAGTAGAATGAACCAGTCTGGAAGCTGGATTTGAAGCCCCTCGTTTGGTATTAAAGAGACAGCTTCAAAGCGAGTTGATTTGAGACACACCTCAGAAAAGGGGCGGGGCTTGTGGCGTTAAAATATGGAGGAATTCAGACCAAAGCGCTGCAGTTCTACTTTATATAGGCCCCAAATGAAGGATTTAAATGTGAAACTGAAGGATTTAAAGCGTGATGCGTCTACTTCAAAAGTATTTACATCTAAACAACATCTAAACAGACAGCAGCAGGATACGAAGGGTCCTCCATGACCCAGGTTATGATCCAAAGATGTTTCATCACTCACCTCTGTTCATTTTTGAAAAATCAGTGAGACGCTCGCTGTAAGTCCAAAGTCATGAAAATTCTTGTAATTCACAGACAATCTGTAAGACTTGACATGTTTGACACGTTTCAGGGATGTTTTTATACAAGAGGCAAACATGTTTTATTTTGTCCTGATACATAAAACCCTAAAACTGAAGAAGTTTAGGTTTTTTTATTTTCTTCAGGAGAATTGAATATTTTTGGACAATATGGGAAAATTGTTATATTATTTTATTTCCTTTTTGTCTGCTTTAAGCAGGGGGAGGCTGTCTCGTTCTATATTTTTCCCTAAAACTATTACTTTGGCTGAAATGATTGGTGAATTATTTTGTCTAACATTTTTCTTCTGATTGCTTTAACTGTTTAGACATGTTTTCTTACAGCTATATTTCTCCACTCAGCCTTTATGAATCCATAGTTTCTTTTTGTTTTCTTTCTAACTACACATCTCTCTTTTCTTTCATTTTGCTCTACATTCATCTAAAGTGTAACTTAAATTGTAAAATATTTAATCACTCCTGTCTACTGTTTCACATGTCTGATTGTACTCATATATTTATTTTTGTTTATTCTGTTTTAAACATAAGAAAATACTGCTCAGCTTGTGTTTTTGCTTACTTTGTGTCACAGAGACCAACCAAGCATCTTTGTTTTGATTGTGTTCTTCCATCGCTCACAAAAAGTAAAAGTGATTTTTGTTCCCATGTTGGACTTGACATTGATAGACTTTGTATTACAGCTAAATATTTTATTAAATAAACTATTATATCTTGTTACACGTTTAAAAACATCCTGTATCCTGTTTTAGCATCGACCCACAACACTCAGATCTGAAAAGATGATTTTTATTTTACGCTCTAGTGTTTATTAAACAAACATGATGAGATTATGGTAGCTTGTTAGACTGCTGTTCTGTCTAAGTGAAACTAAACAAACCAGCAGCTAAGAGTTATCCTGTTAGAAGAAAGTGTCAATTTTATCAATAGGATGTTTCAATGGTTAAAAAATATTTCATGATTTAAACAAGAGGAAGTGAACTCTGCTTCACTCTTGAACCTGACTGTAAATGTTTCTTTTTTTTTGTTAGGATGTAAATGTCTGAAGGTTAGGGTTGATTTTATGTGACTGAGTTGTTGAGTTATTAGGTCATTGAGTTACCGATTTACTGAGTCTTTGAGTTACTAGGTTATTTAGTCAGTTTGTCATTGAGTTACTATACTGCTGAGTCATTTAGTTATGGAGATACTGAGTCATTAAATTATCGAGTTAGTGTATTATTGAGTTACTGAGTCATCGAGTTCCCGATCTGCTGAGCCGTTTAGTTATTGAGTTACTTAGTTATTGAGTTACTTAGTTATTGAGTTGCTGAACTATTGAGTTACTGAGTTACTGAGTGGATGTGTCATTAAGACAATGAGTCATATAGTTACTGAGCTGCTGAGTTGTTTAGTTATTGAGCATGAGTTGCTTAGTTATTAAGTCACATAATCAAGTTATTGAGTTACTCATTTACTGAGTTTTTGAGTCAGTGTGTCAATGAATTATTGAGTAACTGAGTTATTGAGTTGCTGAATCATTGAGTTACTCAGTTGCTGATTTGTTGGGTTACTGAGTTTTTGAGTTAGTAGGTGATTGAGTTACTTGGTTACTGAGTTACTTGGTTATTGAGTTACTGAATCATTGCGTCGCTGAGTCATTGGGCCTCATGCAAGAACATGTTTGTATTCTTATCCTAAATTTCTCTTACTTTTGTTCGTACAAAGGGTTCGTACGAACATGTCACGTCAGATTCAACAAACTCTTCTATCTTCAGGAAAAGTGTGTAAATGAGCTGCGTAAACATGATGATTTCTACCTGTTCGTATCCAGCTGCTCGTGCACGAAGAGAGGAGATTAGCTTAATTACAACCCCAAGGGCACCATATAAGGCTACGTTTCCTGCCCTACATACCAGGAAGTGTCTATTCATAAGTGACATTGCAAAGTAAAAAAGAAGAGCTTTACGAGTTCGGAGATTGAAGTTCTGCTCTCAGAGATCATTTTTAGCAGCGTCAGCTGTGAAATTAAAGGATCTGCTTTAAAGCCGAGGAATGAAATGTGCTGTTAGTGTTGTGTCTCCTGTGGATCATACAGTCACAGAAATAAAAATCTAAATCATATTTATCTCTGTCTGTAGTCCTGCTACAGTTTTTCTTTGGTCAAATATTTTTAATTTCAGTGTAAACAACTGTGTTACTGTCGGATGCGTTTCTGAAAAAAAAAAGCATTTTAAAATGTCTCAAAACTTCAAATAACGTCATATTAATATTGTAGTGCTATACAACAAAATTAATAGCCAATTTATTTTGATTTTACCAATTTATGTCGTTAGTCTACATTATTACATTTAAAATTATAACTCTAATCCAAACAGAATAGCCTCTTGTCAACATAATTATGGAGTGTGATTTATTTTTAACTCAAAATATCTTCAAACTAACGAAATATAAAGTTGTTAATGGAGGAAAACCCGTCTGGATAACAGCAGACAGACTGCTCGTAAAATATACGACAGGTCTGGACCACTCGTGAATTTTGTTCGTATCTGAAAAAAAATCTTAGAATACGAGAAAATAGATGAATGCCACAAATTCTCCTAAATCACTCATCCGCACAACTTAAGAACAAATCTGTGCGTACGAACGGTTCTTGCATGAGGCCCATTGAGTTACTGAGTTGAGTTACTCATTTATTAATGAGTCAGTGTGTCATTGAGTTTTTGAGTTTCTGAGTCACTGAGTTATTAAGATACTTAGTTATTGAATTAATGAGTTATTGAGTTATGGAATTATAGAGCCACTGAGTTGTTGAGTTCTTGAGTTATTTAATTACTGATTCTTTGAGTTACTCTGACATGCTTCTAGTTGTTTCTGACTTTTACAGTGTGTTTTTCCTCTAAGGGATAATCAAAGATAATTAATTTGTTTCTAAAAACAGAATAACATGGAGCTTATGTAAATTAATCTACTTAAAATGCCTAAGGTCTTAATGGTTTAAAAATCTAGACAAAAAAAGCTAAATTTCTTATTTTATACTACAAGTTAGTTAATTCACTTGTAGTTGTACATGTTTAGTGTTTTTAGTGATCAATTTCTGAAAATACAAGTTAAGATTTGACAATATTTTGTTATTTAAATTTGAAATACCATTAGTTCTGCAGGTTCTCAGCAGAATAAAACTAAGAAATAAATTTATTCAGTTAAAATGTTACTTATCCCTATAAATGCCCCCTCCTCCACCCAGTTCAGTATATCTTCAAGTTTTACCTCAGGCTTCAGACCAGTTTGTTCTGGTTCTCAAGATGAGACAGGTAAGAGCCACCCCCAACACCTGCCCCGCAACACACCTTTTGTGTACTGTGAGTTTCATCTCAGTCCACCTGTTTGACATCTCTGACAACTCATTCTGTTTTTTTTCCTCCTCTATAGTAACAAACTATTTAAGACAGTTTATGCTCTTATTTTTTGTTTTCTCCTGTTTTACAAAGAGAAAAACATTTACAGGTTGTAAATGTATGTTGAAGAGTTTTTGTGTTTATTTGTGTGTAAATGAAAGAGCAAATCTTTTGCATGTGGTTGTTTTTATTTTTGATATTGTTTTAATGACAGAATGATTGAATATTTACAGTCATGGTAGAAAGTGAGAACAGACTCTTTTGAATCTTTAAAAAAAATGCATCAAAACCTCAAAAATGTCATCTGGTTCTCAAATAAATACATCAGATGAAACAGAGCCAAATTTCAAAAGATGTTTAAAGAATAAATTCTGCCTTAATCCCTCCTACAGCTATTAAGGTACAACTGAGATCATGAGTTTACATACATGTGAAAGCTAAACAGACTGACTTCTTGGCTTTTAACCTGCCACCATGCTTGATTGTTGGTACAATATTCTTAGTTCTGAAAGACTCACCTCGATGCTTCCAAACTTATTTCTGGTCTT